CCCACTAATTTTAAATACAGAAGAAATCAGTTTGATAGAATTTAAGGAAAACACACTTGTTCCCATGTCCGATATTATTACAATTTCAGATGTAAAAACTTATTACCAAAACGATGCACTGATTTATCTTGTAAACATTCTTCAAATAACAAAAATTTGCAAATTATATCAAATAAGCCCTGTGGCTCAAAATAACAAAATGTTGTATTTAAAGAATAATTTAACTGCTANAAGGGAAACCAATATCCATTAGAAAATTGCAGAAAATCTGTAGGATATAACTATTGTAGTATTAATATGCAAGATGTTTGCCTTTTACAACTTCTAAACAACCATACAGCAAATTGTCCCACTACGGCGGCGGACCACTTAGAAGAGATTGAAGTAATTAGAGACGGATTAATCATCGCACGCAGCAGTACGCTAGACATCGAAGAAAATGGAGAACTGATTCGAGCTAATGGAACCCTGTTAATTACATTTGAAAAATCTCTTACGATAAATGGAGAAAAATTCAAAGCAAATCATCAGATCGATATTATTGAGCTCCTAGCTCCTAAGAAAACTATTTTAAATGAGACAAGTCAACAAAAACACCTATCATTGCCATTCCTTCATAAACTGCATATTCGAAATAACGAGCGAATGGAAGAGATAAAAGTCGTTCTTGAAAATAGCAAATGGATGTGGTATGGCGTAATTGCAATACTCACAGCAATCATAATAGTAATATTGTATATGAAGTTAAAGCCCAGAATTATCAAAATAAAAACTGACACTGACCAGCAATTGTGGCTGAGGGCAACCACATTTGAGGGCGAGGGTAGTTAACATATGTAGTGGAATGTGCCACTTGACACCAGCAACAATAGCAGCAGCAGCAAATATACAAACGTGCGAACGAATGCATGTACGTGACTAAATGTGAATACAAATGCAGCGTCAACAATTTAGCTTTAAGAAATTAGAAAATAAGAAATAGAATTAAGAGGTAGCATAGGTAGATTAGAATATGAATATTGAAACAAGTAATTTTTAGTAAAAAAAAACCGACTTCAACTCCCATATAAAAAAAATATATATATATAACTATATATATATCTCATGATCCACTGATCGGATCTCAACCAGATTAGTATGGGACCACCTCTGAGACACTACCTTTCCGACGCAAAAAAAAAGATTATCGAAATCGGTTGACGTGGTCCAAAGGTATGCGGTAACATACAAAAAAAAAAAAAAAAAAAAAAATATTCCGACGGACTGATAACCTCCTCCTTTTTTGGAATAATAAAGCCAGTCTTGATTTGACAACCAAAAATATCTTGTAGAGTCAATAATGACAAGCGAAAAGTTCGTTTTATTTGCCAATTGGGGCGAAAGTTTCTCTGTAGTGAAACAACTGTTCTTTGTTTACATTTTAATTGTTCTTTCTGACCGCCACTGCGACAGACGGGATTTCTTTTAAATAAAATACACCGCAGTAATGGATTACGAAACGCCGGGAAAGTGAGTAATTTTATAATAGAAAAAATTTATTTCATTTTATTATGAATTCGTGTAGTAACAGACGTGGAAAATATGGACGCACCACACAAGAGCAGCTTCAGTTTTGTGAAGACCACCCCGAACTGCAAACGTGTAAAAACTGTTCAAAAAAAAACTGTTGTCTCGGGGAACTCCGAGAGTCTTCTTCTCTGTATAATTTCTTCTTGCTCCACAATAAAAGCCGCGTACATAATAATTATTTCCTCCGTGAATAATATTCTGCAATGGATACTATTATGATATGAATACGCAAATAATAACTTTTTAACACAGCTGCTTAGGCAAGTAAAATGGAAACACAGTTTTTCTGCAAAATTTATAAAATTTAAAATATTAACATATATGTTTTAGCGTTGTCACGTACTCAATAGGTCATCACAAAAATAATAGCAATTGTCACCATTGGAGCTTTCAAATTGCCCTCTGCATACCTAAACGTGACAATTGATTATAAACATGACTGTTAAGTATTACGTATTTATTTACTAATATTTCTACAAGTATAAGATATGGCAACCTCTTTATCTAAACGCGTAAGTTGGCAATACTTATAAGTTTTATTAGATACATACTCCTGAATTGTACAATATCCTACACACGTGCCTGGCTTAAGCCGCTTTCATTTTATAAACTTAGGTATAATTTTTACCAACCCAATAAACTCTGAATTAGAAAACAACCAACAAATGGCGACGAGGTGAGTTACGGAACCTGGCGTCAAAAGTAATAGCATATTCTCGATAAGAAACGAATTCATCGTAACTCTGTCAAAATGAGTGCAGAGGCGCTCCTAGAAGTGATCCAGCAAATGCAGCAGGCAAATCAGGAATTCATGTCACGGCTGTTGAAAGAAAATCAGCAAACAATACAAAGCATAATGAAAAATTGCGAAAAGCCGTCTGGGGCGATTCCAAATTTTCGGGCGTTTAATAAGGTTGAAGACAAATGGTGCACGTATGTATTACAGCTCGATCAGCATTTCGTGGCTCATAGCGTAGAAGATGAGCAGACAAAGCGTGCCTGTATTCTGAGTTGGATTGGCGCGGAAAATCTAGAGCTACTGCAAAAAATTTTCGATGGCAAGGTGAAAGAAAAGACATTTAAAGAAATCATAACCTCACTTAGTGAACATTTTGAGGAAAAACAGCATGTGCTTAGTGCGCGTTTTCACTTTTATCGCACACATATGAAGCCTAGTCAAACTTATGCTGACTGGCTTGCTGAGCTCAGGGGAGCAGCAAAAAATTGTTTATTCAAATGTGTCAAAGCTGAGTGTGGAGAGGCTTATGTAGACAGCAAAATTCGAGACATGATTGTCATGCACACACCACATGACAAAGTTAGGACGGCAGCCTTGCAAAAAGTCAACCCCACATTAGAAGAAGTCTTGCAGATTGCAACAATATATGAAGCAACAATTAAAACGTGTACTGAAATGAAGGAGTCGGAATCAGCAAATGTGAACGTCATCAGTAAGTCATCAAGACCCACCCTAAAGTCGAAAGGAATTCGCAAAAAGAAAGAAAATTTAAATCGTACTTATAACGCAGAATCATTAAAAAAGTCGTGTCCAGGGTGTGGTACCTCGCATCCAAGAGAAAAGTGCTTTCACTATCGAAAGAAAAGTAGATGTAATGTATGCTCAAAAACGGGGCATATTGCGGCTGTATGCGGAGCTGCTGAAAAGAGTCAGAGCAAGCATCGAGTTCACAACGTGTCGACGAACAACGAACCATCTTTTGAAAACATCAGCACTATCAACTCTATACATTCTGCAAAGCAAAAAATCTACGTGAACATTAAAGTCAATGGGAAATTTATGGATTTCCAAGTGGATACAGGGGCCACTTGTTCAGTTATCGGTGTTAAAGGTCATCAAGAGCTCGGAGAACCGAAATGGGAGTACACCCACCAACAATTAAGGGCGTATGGTGGACATAACGTACCGGTGAAAGGTCTAACCCATGTAGACGTTCAATGTGGTGAAGTGGTAAAGAACCTACCCCTTCTAGTAGCAGATACCAATGATGCATCAAACATTCTTGGCCTTGACTGGTTTTATAAATTGAATTTTGATATAACATTTCCTAAAAAAGTTCAATGTAACCAATTCTCCTCTGTTCCCACAGGTCAGGCATCATTGACGTCGCTGAGAGTCCGTCTGACAGAGATAATCAAGAACTATCCAGATATTTTCAGGGAAGAGCTAGGATGCTGTAACAAGTTTCAAGCAAACATAACCTTGAAGACAACTGCTAAACCAAAATTTAGTAAACCCTATCACCTACCGTTTGCACAATACGACAAGGTACGTTCTGAAATTGACCGTTTAGTAGCTTCAAAAGTTTTAAAACCCGTCTCAGCTAGTGAGTGGGCATCACCGATAGTCGTGGTTAATAAGCCAAATGGGAAAATTCGTGTTTGCGGGGATTTTAAAGTCAATATTAATTCACAGTTAGAAATAGACCGTTTTCCTATTCCACGAACAGAAGAATTGTTTCAGAAACTTAAGGGAGGGATCCTTTTTTCGAAGATTGATCTTAGCGAGGCGTACCTTCAGATTGAAGTAGCTGAGCAATCACGGCAATATTTAGTTATAAACACACCTTTTGGTCTATTTCAGTATTTAAGAATGCCTTTTGGGATAGCCAGTGCACCAGGGATTTTTCAGAGAGTAATGGAGGAATTAGTTCAGGGAATGTCAGGATGTGCCGTATATCTTGATGATATTATCATCACCGGGAGTTCAGATGAAGAGCATCTAAATAACGTCAAAGAGTTATTTCAACGTTTAAGTGCGTATGGGTTGAGGTGCAAAGAAGACAAATGTCAATTCGCATGTCAGCAGGTAGAATATGTAGGGCACATAATAGACTCTAAAGGAATAAGACCAACGGCTCAAAGGCTTAAAGCGATCGAGATGATGCCTAGACCATCGAATGTGAAAGAGGTAGAAAGTTTCATTGGCAAGATAAATTATTACAATAAATTTATTCCAAATTTTTCATCAAAAGCTGCGGCCTTGAATACACTGCGTCGTCAAACAGTTAAGTTCGAATGGGGTCCCGCACAAGAATCAGCATTCTTAGCGTTAAAATCGGAGATAGTAAAGGCAACACAATTGGTCCATTACAACGATTCACTGCCAATAGTATTAGCTACGGATGCATCGAAATCGGGCATCGGCGCTGTCATTTCGCATCGATATGCCGACGGCTCAGAATAACCCATAGCTTTCGCGTCTAAAACGCTAACTAAGAGTCAAGTTAATTATTCGCAAGTGGAAAAAGAAGCACTTTCTATCATCTTTGGGGTAACGCGATTCCACCAGTATCTATACGGTAGACATTTTGAACTCCAGACCGATCATCAGGCATTAACCACATTGTTTCACCCATTTAAAAAACTGCCGACTATGACGTTGCAAAGACTTCAAAGATGGGCAATACTTCTGCAGAGTTATGATTACTCTATTCGATATCGACATACATCGCAACACTCAAACGCTGACGCACTTTCAAGACTGCCCTCAGGAGAAGACTTAGAATTCGATAAGAAAGAAGGCAAAATGACCAATATTTACGAAGTTTATCAAACCGCGGTGGAATCATTGCCACTCACACCTGAGGTTATCGCAAGGAAGACAAATTCCGACACCACTCTTAAAGTAGTTAAGCATATGATCGAGGAAGGGTGGCCTGCACATCTAACTGTATCTCAAAAGTCACTGAAACCCTATTTCGACAGACGTTTAGCTCTCAGCTGCCAGAAAGGCGTAATCCTTTTACAAACAGATTATAGCCGAGTCGTGGTACCGTCTGAATTGCAGACAAAGATATTGAATTTGTTGCACGAAGGGCATTGGGGAAGTAGTCGGATGAAACAGTTAGCGCGAAGGTATTTGTGGTTTCCAAATATAGATAAAGCCATAGAAAAAGTATGTCAATCATGCAGTGGGTGCAGATCAATAGCTAGTGCACCAAAACGTGAATTCGCACAATGGCCTGAACCTAAAGAAGCATGGGAACGAATTCATGTGGATTTCGCAGGTCCATTTTTCGGAACGATGTGGCTAATAGTAGTAGATTCGTACTCCAAATTTCCCTATGTCATACAGATGTCATCGACGACGTCAGAGAAAACCATTGCGTCATTGCAACAAATATTTTCAATAGAAGGATTGCCTCAAACGATAGTATCCGACAACGGACCACAGTTTACATCGTCCGAATTTCAAACGTTTTGCAAATTAAACTGTATTCAGCAACTAACTACTGCACCTTTTCATCCATCCTCAAAAGGGCTAGCAGAAAGGTTCGTGAGAAGCTTTAAAGAAGCCTTTTCGAAAATCCAGAAAGAGGGTAAAAACAAAGAAAATTCATTCTTAAAGTATCTGGTAACCTATAGAAATACACCTAATCCTATATCGGGAAAATCGCCAGCGGAGCTGTTGCACGGTAGGCAACCACGCTGTTTATTATCAGCACTGCTACCTAAAACGCAACCTACGACGGAGAGTTCACCTAAATACAGTAGGGGACAAGCAGTTTTCGCTCGAAACTTTTCCGGTAAGCAACGTTGGGTTCAGGGAACTATATTACGAAACTGCGGTCGCATGATGTACGAAGTGGCGACAGCACGACAAATTATTAAAAGACACCAGAATCAAATACGAATCAACATCTCAAATAGTCCGACCAGAGCCGAGTTGACTAGTCCACAAAATGACTGGGACATTGAACAGGCGCCTTATGAGGTCGAACACACCGAGACACCAACATCCACCAATTCATCAACATCACTCGAGTTGCCAATCTCCGATAATTCAACTGCAACTACCAGATCACCAGGGTCACCGTCCCGGGCTTCCCAAAAGGAAACAACGCCACCACCTAGTACCCCACCTATTACTTCTGAAGCGGTACCTAGGTGTAACAACCAGTCCGAGACGCCGGCACCACCTACCATTCGGAGATCAGAAAGAAGTCGGAAGCCGTGCATGAAGTATAAATCAGATTATATTTAAGTTTGATTAAATGTACATAACTCAAAGGAGGGAAAGTGTTAAGTATTACGTATTTATTTACTAATATTTCTACAAGTATAAGATATGGCAACCTCTTTATCTAAACGCGTAAGTTGGCAATACTTATAAGTTTTATTAGATACATACTCCTGAATTGTACAATATCCTACACACGTGCCTGGCTTAAGCCGCTTTCATTTTATAAACTTAAGTATAATTTTTACCAACCCAATAAACTCTGAATTAGAAAACAACCAACAATGACAATAGTTAAAGCGGCGAGTTTTGTCATTGCACGCGAATAGGGCTATAAATCCTGCAAATCGTACACGTTCTGGAACACACTAATTATTGGCCCCTATTATGAGTTGCATTCGATCTTCGACTGTGGTCGAAAGTGCTGATCGAACGAATTTTCATTTGGTATTATGACGCTCATTTGCTGAAGAATAACGCCATTGTGAATTTGGCTTGGTTAGGTTGTTCACAATAGTATATTTTTCACCGCTGAGAAGATTTGTTTACCAATCGAGCAAACTAAATAGTGTGCTTATACATATGTATGTATGCAAATTTGTGCAAATTAAAATTAAATAAAAAAGAAAGCGAGTTTATAAAAACGTGGTAAAAATTAGTACAACGGAGTTCTGGTTCAACGATTCGTCAAAGGATGAGAGCTTGGTAAACTGGCCAGGAGTAGAAAATGTTTAAGAGAGTTTAAGTGTAGTATTTCGAATATATTTTTACATAAAATATATTTACAAAAATTTGTCTACTTCCGACTTTCTAAAGAGGCGTTTGTGAGACAAATCTATTTAAAATATTTTAAAACTATCAACAGCCTATCGAGCTTGTGTTTAATATTCACGACGCAGGAAATTAATAAACATTTTTTAAAATTAGTGTATAGCCGCCAAAAAGTAAGAAAACGAATGCAAAATCATACATTTTTCACAATTGTCTAAGACTTCGCTACACCATCGAAAGCAAAATTCTGTTAGACAGAAAATTCGATACTCAGCGAAAATTTCGACACGGTTGCATAGCTCATAATACGAATTTCACTTTCGATGTTCGATCTTCGATAACCAGCGAGATCGAAAATCAAATGCAACACATAAAAAGGGCCATTAATTTGTCGGCGCAGCGATTAAAAAACACGTCCGCACAGGTTGACAGTCACTGATTCCAAACATTTGAAAGGTACTCGGCTGAAAAATCTGTATTCGTAATCGGAAGGCAGTCGACACCACTGCCGATATAGGAAATCCGACAGTGAGGCCCCTATTATGAGTTGCATTCGATCTTCGACTGTGGTCGAAAGTGCTGATCGAACGCATATTCATTTGGTATTATGGCGCTCATTCGATGAAGAACAGCGCTATTGTGAATTTCGCTCGTTTAGGTTGTTCACACTAGTATATGTTTCACCGCTCAGAAGCTTTGTTTACAGATCGAACAAACTAAATAGTGTGCTTATACATATGTACACAAGGCACATTAAACAGGTAGTATCAGTAGAGCAAAAACAACATTTGCGTGTACTTTGTTGTTGCTTCTGGTATCGAAAGTGTCAACAACTGTTCTGAATTTTTTCTTCTAAATCAAAGCGTGCCATGTGAAATACAAAAAATTATAAAAAATAAAAAATTGAAATTGGAAAAAATAAAAATTGATGCAACTTTCTTTCCTAGTAAATTTGTTTGCTTCTCGAAGCATTGATCCATCCTTTGCAAGGCCCAGTAATCAGCGGTCGTGCTGCCGAGTTGGGCGAACGTTCCAAAAGCTGCTATTCAATCGCTTGTTTTGTATGGAAAAAGGTTTCACAAGCAAATGGATTTTAACAACTTATAATTTTCGTGAGAAAAAATTAAAAATATTTGACATTTTCGAGACCAAATAATTTGAAAATAAATCAAGTCAGCTGCTCTACTGATACAACCTGTTCAATGTACCTTGTATGTACATATGTAAATTTGTACAAATTAAAGTGAAATAAAAAAGAAATCGAGTTTATAAAAACGTAAAAATTAGTACAACGGAGTTCTGGTTCATCGATTCGTCAGAGGACGAGAGCTTAGAAAAGTGGCCAGGACCAGAAAACCTTTAAGAGAGTTTAAGTGTAGTGTTTCGAATATATTTTGACATACAATATATTTAAGAAATTTTGTGATCCAAATCTATTTAAAATATATTAAAACTATAAACAGCTCTATGATTTTGTTCTCAGAGATCGTGCCAACTGAGTATTGGGATTTTCTTGCACAAGTAAAACCAGCCTTTCGCGCTTGTGTCTAGTATTCACGACGTTAGAACTGCATGAAATTAATACAAATTGTTTAAAATTAGTGTATTGCCGCCAAAAAGGAAGAAAACAAATGCGAAATCATACATTTTCACAATTTTCTAACACTTCGCTACACCATCGAAAGCAAATAGCGAACGAAGATCGAAAAATCGAATGCAACTCATAACAAAAGTATGTTCACATATAAATTACTACGTTTATACGTAAGCTATGTGCAAATAAAAATAATTTGCAAATACCTAACTCACTGTTTATTCGATGGTGAAAAATTATTTTTTAATATTGCCTGATTATAAAAAGGCAATAATATGACCATCGAAAAAGAAAATAAAGTTAAAATTGGCAACGTCTTGATTATAAAAAGGCAATAAGATGACCATCTAAAAAGAAAATAACCCTAAAGGCCCCGCCAGATATAAATTTNTGTTTATTCGATGGTGAAAAATTATTTTTTAATATTGCCTGATTATAAAAAGGCAATAATATGACCATCGAAAAAGAAAATAAAGTTAAAATTGGCAACGTCTTGATTATAAAAAGGCAATAAGATGACCATCTAAAAAGAAAATAAACCTAAAGGCCCCGCCAGATATAAATTTTTTACTGCGTCACAGGGATGATTTTGACTGACAAGACGCACATAACATGGCGAGGCGGCACAATGAAAACGTTGCCGCAAACAAAACGGCTCATTTTGATTGGCCAAAAGTCAGCTCGTTTGAATTCGTTCCATACATTGTTGTTTTGCCGCATTCACGCGCGTCAAAAGTTGAGAGTTGGGCGATTTTTATCAGTTGCAGCAATGCTTGCGTTACCAATGCGGCGTCTTCTATTCAAAATCACAGAGTTAACTTCGATGTCAGTCAAAAGCACCCGTGACGCAGAAAAGAATTTCTATCTGGCGAG